ATACGCATTATTACACTTTTCATTTTATCCTATTTGTAATAATGCATCGTTAATTTTTAATCTTTAATATTCATTGATTTTCAAACATTATTCTTATCTTATATTTATTTATTACATAATTATGATTATTATTCTGTAACTGATATTTGCGTGTATTTTTTAATGCTTCGACATTATTAAATTTATAAAGTAAAAAATGATTATAACTATTTCAAATACTTACTATTGTATAAGTGAATGTAGAATGTAGAAGAATATAAAATTTGTAACTAAAAGTAATTCGTATTTACAAATTTAATAATTTCAAATTAATTAATCTACCATTTAGAAAAGAAAATTAATATTTCAATTAATTATCAATGATAATAATAATTTAATATTCAAATTTACTACATTTACTTTCATTATTGTTTCTTTCGTCATGGAACAATTATTAAGAATACCAATATATTAATATAATTTAATTAAAAAATTTTTTAATAGTCTTTCATATAATATTGGTTAAAAAATTATTATTATCCTGACGTACAATTGGTTATATCGAATTGGATTTAATATTACTTCTTAGAGTTCTCTACAAAATATTGGATAAATTGTAAATGTCAAAACATTCTATTTATACTTGTAATACAAAAAATATTTGATATTTACAATCATACATTTAAATTACTTCCAACAATATTCATGTAAAATTAATCTATTATGAAATTACTATGCTTATATTGTTTTAAATACTTTGGTTAATAATAATAATCTCATATGATACATATAGCTAATACACCATCATTCTGCGAAATTAATGAAGTACGTGTCAACCCTTGTAAAGAAGCAGCACAAGGCAAAGCTTGCAATCTGAAGAAAGGAGAAGATGCAAAAATAAGCTTTGATTTTACTCCCAGTAAGTTATCCTGTCATTAATAAAATTTTTATGAACATTCGACGATCGAAATTGTTCCATTAAATCTCATAACTATATGAGATTTATAAAAATTGATAGAATAAATTATTTTTCATTAGCGAAGATTTAGATATTCTACTTATCAAATTCAATTTCTTTTTAACACATTATATTGCCAATACGATGAGTAAATTAATTAAATTTTACCACGTTATTCGTATAACACATTACGTTTACTATATGTTTTTCTATAATTACCATGAATAAGTCTTATTTGTCATAAGTATAACTTAATAATTGTTTTAGATATACTCTCTGAATAGATCATGAATTTAAAAAATAGCTTTAACAAAGAGAATATTATTACAAATATCTTTGAAATTAGTATTGGTATGAATATTTTTCAATATTGTTAAAAATACTTAGATAGCAGTGGCATATACAATTGAACATACAACTTTCTATTTGTTACGTCTTTATTCGATTACAAATTTCATGCTCATTAGGCATTTATAAATTTAGTTTAATTGTTACTTGGTAATATAATTGTTAACAACTGCAAAGTCAAGAAATATTTGTTAAAGTAACAATAACCTTACGTATTTATTTGTCATATTTTATTTTGTAATTTAATTTCTTTCCATTCCATTTACTGACTAATTTAAAATTTCAAATAATCTTCACTGGTGTATGCCTATTAAAAATCATGATTTGACAATTTACTCTGATTACTCGATATAGAAACGAGGTTGCTTTCATAAGTGAGTGACTTCTCACAAGATATTTTTTAACCGCTAAATTCTGCTCACTATTAATGAATTAAGCGGGCTTGTAGACAAAATTTTAATTAGATTAGTTGCTTGAAAAATAATCTATCGTAATTTATAAATTGATGAATGCATAGTTGACCAATGAATAACAAAAAAATCTCATATGACGAAACGTAAATGAATGTACTATTTATATAGAGATACCTGCAAATAAACTATATGCTATACAAATAAACTATAGAGAATTATTTAAATAAAAACGAGCATCTAAAAACAAATAAGTATAGGCTATTGAATTACGTTTTTTCGAAATGGAAACTGGAAGATATCGCTCTTAATTATATATATATTTTAATTTTAAAAAGTTTTAAAAGTAGTTTTAGTTTTAAAACAATATATAAATCAAAGTATGATTATTCTTAATTATATATATATATATATATATATATATATATATATATATATATATATTTCAAAAAGGACAGAAGTGTAAAAAGTAAAGATACATATGACATAAATGGTAGACAAATATTCGTTCTAATAATCCAGAATAATAAATGAATAATGCTAAACCATAAATGTATGATAGAATATTTAATTCAATAAAATTTAATAATAAAATAATTTAGAAGTAGTTTGCTCAATTCGTTATAGTTTAATTAATACAAATGATACTGAATATCTTGGCGTACTCTTGGCCCGATCATTACTAAAATCCACGAATATTTGGAACTATCGGACAGAAGTTTCGAATTAAATGACAATTTTTAAAATCCTATAAAATAGATAGAGTAGGTAAGATATTAATTAAATTTATATAAAAATATAAATATTTTTTTAAAGAATTTAATTGCGCGTGTCGTTTTTATTAACAGTTTAAATTTGAGTGAATTTTAACATGCACCTTTCTACGACGCATTATTAGCAGTGAGAAGGAATACTTATAAATAAAACGACTGGCACAGATTTATTATTTTTTTTATATAAAATAAAACAAAAATTTATATTAATCTTATACATGTTGAACAAGAATAAAATTATAAAATAGTCGGCTAATGGTAAAAATATCAAATACGATTTTATTAGAAATGCAGCAGCACATTGATTTAAGCTAAAGTCACCTTTTATAACAATAAAGTAATGTAATAGAATAATCTTAGTAGTAACCTTGAATACACAAAGTGATACACAATATTATCGTTTGAGAAATGAAATATCTATACGCTAGACTTCATATGTACAAACAAATATGTTTATAGGCATCATGCATACACTTACATATTTTTATATTATATTTATCGTTATCATTAAAAATAATTAATTTGTTATTTTCAATATAAACAATGATCATTCAATTATAATTTAAAACAATTTATCCGTAGAACATCGTTTTTTATTTATAATTATCATTCTCAGTTAGTTAATTTTATCGTACGATATTTTGCAAGTTTTGATTTTAATTTATAATCTAAGTTCTATTATTGAACGCTAATTTAATTATTGATTTCTTCGTTAATATGAGCAAAATTTCGCTTAATTAATTTAAAATCATTTGATATAAGTATAAAAAGAAAACTATAAAGATTTTCGACATCAAAAATAAGTTTATAAAATTTTACTATCACTGCCACGCTTATTTTCCAATTGAATATGTAAATTAACGTATAAATAATGTTATTTAAAAATAATATAATAAATATGAGCAATCTATGTACTTCTGTATAACATTTATTTAAATATTATATAAATATATTTACTTCAGAATTCACATCATCAAAACTGGAATCACGTGCTTATTGGGCTAATCAGCTCGTTGATTTGCCTTTAATGGGTATGAAAACCGACGCATGTAAAGATGGAACTGCTTGCCCGATAAACAAAGATGCTAAAAATACTTACACAATTAATTTGCCTATTTCGAAGAAATATCCTGTCGTAAGTAACTTTAATTAAATTTATATTTTCGAAAGTATAATTTTGTTTCGTTCGTAAACCAAATTTTTTCATCAAACCTTTGAAAATTGTAGTATAAAACATAGATAATAGTTATTAAAAATTTTATTATTCCTCAAATGTTTCATACAATAGGAAATATTTGCAGCATGAAAGTAAATCGAATAACCCATTCAAAACATGCTAATTGTAGTAGCTAAAATAAATAATTTTTTTCCATAAAGATCAATTCCTTTACTCCCTAAATTTATTTTATTTTTATAAATATGTATTATATCCTGGATACGACTTATTAATTACAATTGATAATTCAATAATTATTTTATCGATAAATATGTAAAGTAATATTAGAATAAGTAATAATAGAATGTAATAAAATATTATATAAGATAAATTACTTTTTACTTAATTTTCATAATTCATTTATTCATATTTTTCTGAAATAACAAAATATACAAATTAATATTACATTAAAATTCTGTTTTTATGATACTTTAAATTCATAATAAATCAATTTAAACGAGCTCGATTTGTATAAGTTTTAAATTTTTAAAAAGTTTTTTATATATATGAAATGAATTAATAAAATAATAAACATTGAAATAGTATTCGAAAGTAAGATTTCTCATTCAAACGTACAAGTTTGTAAATATACAAAACTAAATAAAATACAAATAAATCTACGAAACATCCAACTTATGGATAGACTAGATTATATTAATAGTGAAAATTGATTAAATTTAATTAATAATTATTAATAGTTTCAGAATTTTTAAAAAATTTGATTACGAAGGACATGGAAAAGCGATGAAAATATAATCAAGAAATTTGGCATTTTCTTTTCTATTTTCTACTTTCCATTCCTACCTTGTTTATATTCCAGTTTCCCTCGACTATCTCAATTTAATTATTATGTCACGTTCCACGATTGTTTATTTATTGTGTACTCTTTTAATTTTAGAAGAGTTAATTTCGTTACATGAGCAAAGAAATTATTTTTATCAAATATTTAAAAATGATTATATTTGTTAACAATACTATAAGTTCAATGAATTTTAATTGAATGAATTTAAATGATAGATCTTTTTCCTTGATTATAAAATTATATATCTTATCACACATCTTCAAGATTTATTTAGAAATTAAAAAATAATTTGAAAATTTTAACAAATGTTATAATGTGTAAGTGTACGTGCAAATTTAAACAAATAATTTCTTCAATTCAATAAATCAATTTTTTCTTACCTAGTAATTTGTTTTGTAAGTAAAATTTTCCTTTAAAAATTCGTATGCTAATAATTAGCCTTATTTTATGCTGGAATTATTGAAAATGGTTTTTATTAAAATTTATAATATTATGATATTAACAGTATATTTTTAATAAATTATATGTATTGATAGGAAAGCATGCGTATAAAATGGTTCTTTAATTAAATAAATTATTATAATAGTTTCTTTAACTAAATATTAAAACAAAAATTAATATATAAAATTCATATGAATGCATTGAAGATAAATTTATAAATAATATAAAAATTAAAAATTCCTTATAGATATATTATTAATATTAAAAAATCTATGAATAATCATATGAATATAAATGAATAGAAATGTGTAACAACTTTAGTTTATTTAAAGCATTTTTGTAAAGTTTACATCCAAGTTATGACTATATCTGTAAACTTAAGGTATTCATTTTTTTTTTTTTTTTTTTTTTTTTTTTTTTTTTATTAAAAATAAGATAATAATGTAATTGTTTGCAGAAAATTATGTAGAATATAAAATATACGAAACTTATTATTTACATCGAGATTTGCAATGAATAACAATTTATAACTTTATTCATTAGATAATTACATATTTACTAAATTTTCATAGATAATTAATGATTATTTTGCAGAGACCGTTTGACGTCAAATGGAAACTGTGGAACGTTGAGAAAGAAGAAGAAGCCTGCTGTTTTATATTCCAAATAAAATTAGTCAAATAAAACCAATCACGAAATCATGGATTCTCTTTATCGTCACTTCATATCATTTAAATTTATCGACACACTTTCGACGAGAAAGTTTAAGATCGACATTTTCAGGAATTTACTAAATCATTCTACTAAACAACTTTTATAGATATTAAATTATTTATCTAAATGTCAAAGGTCATAAACATAAACGAATATTAATGTTACGAATAATTTTAATGTTACTATTAATTAAATATTGATATTTTAATAGAATATTAAAAAAATTATAAATTATAAATGAACTAATTGAAAGAATGTGAAAAAAAAGAGATAATAGTATAGAAAGATTTTGAAACTTTTAAAAATTGAAATTTAATTGGTATTTGTAAAGCCACTTAACCTTTTATATTATTATATTTTAATACATTTCTATGTTAATAAATATTAAAATTTAAAATGAAATATAAAAGTGTAGTCGAGTAACAACGTATTTGCCGTAATATGATATGCACCAAAAACATAAAGTCTCGACGCGCGTTTATTTTTTCTTCCCCACTTGCATACCTGTGGCTACTTACATGCATAAGTACGTGCGAGGAAACGTCGTCTGCCGTTGTCGAGGAAGAAGAAAGAAAGGGTGAAAGGAAAGAACACGTAGCTCATTTGGTGAGCTTCAATCTTGATCAAAAGGATAAATTGCGGTACGTTGGACGCACTGAAAGCTAGTCGAAGGATCATTAAAAAGAGGATAGAGTATTCAACTCGTTCCTAAGGAAGGCTGCCCTACTTTTCCACAACGACATGCGTTATTAGGACGTAGAGTCAAACAACGCCAAGTGCCAAATTGCCCTTTCAAGGTTTCTCGGCGACTATTGATGAATCGAGAAAGGAATCAAGCGACGAAACGATAACGTTTGATTCTTCGGAATCGCCAATCTCCAATACCCAATATTCTATAAAATATAATTTAAACAAATTAATAAAAACTTTCATTAATGTCGAATTAAGTTTCGAAAGCTTTGTTTTATTTCAGAATTATTATTATAAAATTATATGCCAACGACAACAATAAGTTAAAAAAAAAAAAAACAAAGCAGAAACAAAAAAAATATCGAAAACTGAAAGATATTTGATGAATATTTATTTAATTAGTAAGTACATTATTAAACTGGCTTTTATTATTCTTTTCTTAATATTCTATATCCGCTGATACTTTCAAAATTACTTTAGTTAATTTTCTAATACTTAAAAAGCATTGAATATGAGACTAACGCTAATTAGTAAATTTCATTTACTTGGAACACATGAATATTTCCAATATCTGTACGATATACTGATTAATAAATACATTAATAGAAAAGATAATTGGACAATTAGATTTATTCATTTATTTATTAAAAATTTGTCAGATGATGATTATCAAATCAAGAAAATGTCCTATTAACTGCTAGTGTGATGTGTTTTAAAGTAAATACATTTTAGTTTATTTGCATTAAAATATCAGATTTAAAAAGAATTTGAAACATTTCAGTGAATTAAAAAATAATTAAATTTCAACCTTATTAAACGTTCCTGTTATATTATTAATCTCAAAATAATAATTTGTAAGATTCTTAATTTCTTAAAAATCTCGTAATAATGTGAATTTTATTAATGTCGATCAATTTATCTTAAGAGATATAAATATTGTTGCTAATGTTGCATATGCTCTGTAAAAATATAAATAAATTTTTTTAATCGTTCATATATTTTAGCATATAATAAATATTTGATATATTTAATATTATTTGTTAAAAATGATTAAAGCATAGTAAACAAATTAATCGATGCGTATATAAAGACAAGAGTTATTTTATTATTATTATTATTATTATTATTATTATTATTATAAGTTATATATATATATATATATATATATAATGCAATATTTTTGTAGAATTAATTAAATGTAATAATGATATACGTTTTCAGGAATTACATTACCACTAGCATGAAAATATTTAAATTGCTTATATTATATTGCTTATATTTAACATATTTATATATACCTTATCGTATTCATTGTGGTAACAATTAAATATTAAAATTGACACTAATTAAATTATTTTAAAATATTGAAATCGTTTTGAAAATAAAATTAACATCGATACTATTTAAACAATTATTATCTTAATGCATACATGATATAGTTGTTGCATTTTGTTATAGCTTGTCCAAAAATATTTGAATACATTGTAGTAAAAAGCGATAATGCTAATAAGAAATTTTAATAAAATAACCCTCATAAACCACTTTATGCTTCGACTTTAATATGTATTTTAACAGATAATACCTATAATAAGTTATTAAAACATTACTTTATTTATATTTAGTTTAAAATTAAAAATAACTAATTTCAATGTCAATACTAATTATTGTTAATGTTTTTTTTTTTTTTTTTTTTTAATTAATGTTAATATTGTTATTGTTAATCTTAATAATTATTGTTAACTAATTATTATTAATGTTAATACTAATATCAAACAACCTATAGATTATGTAAAATCACATAAACACATTATTTATTAACTTCCCACTTCTGCACTCGATACATATATGTAATGCCTACAGTTCGAGCAGACTGTATTTATGCATGTGTGACGGTCTAATTAAAAATGCATATAAAAACTTAATGTACTTACATAATAGTAAAATAAATTTCAGTAATTATCTATAATTATTTATATTAACGATAAGTGTAAATTATTTGATTATAAATGCAAAATTTTATCAAATTTTCAAGTACATAATTTTACTTCATTTATTGTGTAATATTATATTGTTATTATAAATTCAGATATTCCATTGGCTAGAATAAATAAATTTATATATTTTGTTGATATTAACAATATTACTTTTTCATATTCAATTTGCAACAATAATTAAAAATCTTTGTCAATTTATCCTTTGAACTTTTGAAATAATTTGCAATTCGTGTTAAATTGAATATATAATACAAAAAATATTCTTACTAAAATGAATTTAAAAATTAAAAAAAAAAAAAGTACATTTGTAACAATTAAGTTAAATTTTGTTTTTGATTTTTCTTATTTCAATAAAATCCACAAATTCTTTTAATCCTTGAGCGCTTTATTCTCTTTTAATTTTATACAACATTATTACATGTTTTTACCCACATTTTCATACTTGATGATAAAATTTTTTTAAAATTTTTTTGTATAATTCCACTGATTTCTCTCTCTCTCTCTCTCTCTCTCTCTCTCTCTATTCTTATATACACATACATATTGTTTTATATCATTTAGAAAATTTGCTCTTATATTAATGTTTTTATATGAAGACAATAAAAATTCTGCATATAATAAATGATCATAATTTCATCTAATTCTCAACATTATTATTATTATCTCCTTTAAATGCACCAAATGTGTATCTTAATATTAAAATGAAATAAAATAAAAACTTTTGAAAATTTGCTTCTATTGGCAAAAATAAAATATAATTTATTAACATAATTTGGAATCAGCAAAAATAAAAAATCGTATTCATAAAAATGATAAAAAAAAATACAAACAATTTATTTTCATTATTAAATTTTCACTTTTTGCCTTTTCTTATTCTGTCTATAAATATTATATATTCTTTACATTTCTATATATTATTTGCTTGCAATTGTTTCATTATGTAATTGCTACCTCTTCTTTTACATTTTTTTGATAATTTTAGAAAATACAAACAAATAATCTTTTTCAACAAATACAAAAATACTGATAATTGTTTTTAGAAATAAATATCCAACTATGAAAATATTAGAAATATTAGTTTTTAATTACGATGTACTGAAATAATTAAAAACAAATTGGTACTTGTAGCCCAACATTAATTATCGTGCATAATCGATAAAGGTAAAATGCAGAATATTTTACAGGAATTTCATTTTATTTATATATTTATTTTATGTACCATTTCTTTGATTTTATATTCACATATGACTTTTACAATTACACTTCACTAATACTCTTAATTGTAATATTTGCTACGGGTGCATCTTTCTTTTACAAGTTGGCATCTATGCGTTGACTTTATATAATTAAAGCTACATATACATATATTTACATTTAAGTGCGTATGTACATAAATAGCTCTACATGCATTCATACATACATACATACATACATACATAAATACATACATACATACATACATACACATATATATAAACGTAAAAATAGCATTGTATTTTTGGAATAAAATTTTGCCAGATACATATTAAACATTTAAATAAGTCGAATGTAAAAGTAAATGTTATTATCGTAACTCTATAGTATATTTATGGCTTCAGGCAAAAACATATATTAAAGAGTTTGAGTGCTATTTCAAAGTATCAAATAATTTTAACTTAGAGATAGCCAAGGAAACGGTAAAATTATATGATTCTGATTTTGCTTATTGTATGATTTACTCAGCTGCTCATTAAATTTCAAGAAATATCCAATAGACCCACACACGCGCGCGCGTGTCAAAGACTTTAGAAAAGTAAGGAAGACATTAATTTAATATGTGCACACAAAATAATCAACATATAAAGTTTAACTTAATTTATAAAGTAGTAGTTAAAATAACGAAATTACATATAATTATTGAAAGTACCTTATTACATGAAACATTTGCAATCCCATGAGGCTACAATTTTTTATATAATGAAGAATCATCTCATAAAAATTTATTGCATTATTTTTAGGTCAGATAATGCAATACGGTTATGAAACTGTAATTAATTATAACAGACAATTTGCTATAAATATTATCAACATTTATTCATACAATGTAAGGGTATCTTCAAAGATAAGAAATTATTAATAGATCATAGGTATTGATAATATAAGCTATTAGTAATACATTTTAAAGAAAAAAAATGGCAATACTCCGATATCGATTTATTTATAGCTGAAGCCAGTTTAAAGACTTATACGTTGGATTAGTATCGTGAAATATTTCATTTTTTTATTTTCTAGTAACTAATGTGATCAAAGTTATAGAAATAA